TGAAAAAGCCATCAAATTCCAAAAGTAGGTCATGGTGACCTACTTTCTGATTGACACACTCCAGGTACCAAATATGCATCAACTGACAAAGTTTGATAATTCCAAGCCAATTTGTCTGAAATATTCAAATTAAGCCATGAAATTCCAAAAGTAGGTCACAGTGACCTACTTTTTCGATGATAAGCGCTCAGTTTTACAGTCGACGACTTACTTTTACACTGGGAAAATATGCGGAAGCTCTTTTGCGATATAAATATTTAGCTGATCAATTGATTTAAAGTGACAGTACGGCGCATCTCATCAAAAAACTGACTTGATAAAATATTCCTACAAGATTTGGAATTTTTTACTACTCATAAATGTATAAACTTTCAGAAAATTACAACTTTCACAATTAAATAATTTTGATTATTTCATTAAAATTAATAGTTATTAATGGGACATAAATATATACATCGCAACGTGTTCGGGGTGCCACATTCCATGCTATGCACGCATGCGTAGTTTTCATAAACAAAACAGCATGGTAAGTGAGGGAAGCCCGGGAGGCCTGCTACATTGACAAAGTCGACCAAAAAGAAAAAGAAGCTGAAAATAGAGCTTGAAAAAGCAACTTTCCAGACTAAAATTTAGTTTGGGGATTAATGTAATCGTTGGATAAGGAAGAAACGGGAACTCGGCGACATCCAGGTGCTCCAGCAGGGCTCGCGAAGGTTCTACGCGACGGTTTGTTGATACTTGTTATAATTTCTCATTTTTCCATCGCTTTCAAAGAAAAAAAAATAGTGTAAACTCAACATTGTTCCATTTGAAGTGCTAATTTTTGTAACTGTGCAGAAAAATGTTTTGTTTGACATTTGCCGCGATTACCTATGATTTGGTGGTGTTTTCCTTTCTCGGACCCCAATACACAAAACGTCAACATTTAATTCTGTTAAATTCGCCTGAAAGCAGACTAAAATCTTTACGATTATTATTTAAGATTATTTTATCAGAAAGTTATGATGATTTGCCTTTGAAAATTGCTTTTACCTCATATTTCATTATAATTTGTAAACCTACAGTGTAAGCACGTGCCGTTTTAGAATTCACGTGGTACAAATAAACAGATCTAGACTGCTCCAGTTCGTACGACCCTTGATTTTCCGGCAGATTCTAATTACGTTAATTTTGTATGAGGAGAGAATATTTCTGTTTCTCAAACTGCTGACTTCAACTTTATACCTTATTTCTTACTGATATACTGGGTAAATTTGAATGAAAAAGCACACGTTTTGCAGCCGTACTGTCGCTTTAAACGTAATAATGTTTTTTTTTTTCAAAGCACATATTATGTTGTCTAGGAAGGGAATTGAAACTACCCTATCCTCAACCCCCTCCCTTTCGACCTTGACCAACTCCTGCCAAGTTTTCCTTTCGGAATGTTTTTTCTCTCCCTTATTTAATTTCTTCAGCAAATGAAATTGAAAGGAGATATATCCCTCACGAATAATATACTGTATGTGTACTTCAATAAGCGGGCTTCATATTTTAGCGGCTTTGACGCAGACAACGATGCGCTAATTTATGAATACCGCTAAGAAATCATTTATAAATACAATACACGGCCAGGACATGTGTAGCGCTAATTCATGATTACGCCAACAACTCCAAACCCACCGATTGCGCTAAATTTTGAATACGCCAATTTATGTACACGTACAGTATTTTAAGTTATGTTATTCTGCCTCCCATCATCTCTTGTGTTGACTGCATACCGGTAAATCATGTTAGCACCCCTAACACCATACCTACAACAACTATTAATATTTTCTTGTCTATCATTCCATACATAATGCAGGTTTAAATGTCAAAGTGAGCCGTCAACTGTAAAAGTCAGCGCTTCTCGCAAAAGTCCATTAGTAACTGAAAAGCCATCAATTTCCAAAAGTAGGTCACAGTGACCTACTTTTGGTTGACACTTTGAGGACCCAAGATGCATCAACTGACAATGTTTGATGATTCTAAGCCAATTAGTACAAGAAATATTTAAGTTAAGCCATAAAATAAAAAAAATTAAGCCATAAAAAAAAATGTGTCAATGTGACCCACTTTTTGGTTGACACTCCGGGTACCCAAGATGCATCAACTGACAAAGTTTGACAATTACAAGCCAATTAGTATCTGCAATAGTTAAATTAAGTCATGAATTGCAAAAGTATGTCACAGTGACCTACTTTTTGCTCAGTACATTCTGAGGACTCAAGATGCATCTACTGACAAAGACTGATGATTCGAAGCCAACAAGTATATGAAATATTTAAATTAAGCCATAAAATTGCAGAAAGTAGGTCAAGGTGACTTACTTTTTGGTTGACACACTCCAAGGACTCAAGATGCATCAACAGACTAAGTTTGATGATCATAGGCTTCCCAGTGTCCAAAATATGCTCCTAAAACAATTTGAAAATGAATACCTGTAAAATTCCAAAAGTAGGTCACTGTATCCTACTTTTTGATAAATCTGTTTTAAGGAAGCTCTAAACACAACAAAAAGTACTTTTTGGACTTGGAGAAAAATATATCATATAAAGGTGTGCATATTGGGACTATTCAGTTCATTTTTCAACATAGGGTACCTGCCTTATTTCCGCAGGAAAAATGTTCAAAGACAATGGACTATTCGTGAACAGAAATCACTGTTGTTTACTTAGATTGGGAATATTAATGGAAATGATGAATTCAATTACTACTTTTTGGTTTAATATAAGCTAAGAATATTTTAATTTACTACAAATTGTATAATTAATTGTAAACAACCATTTTTTCTATCTTTCTTCTAAAGGCAGATCACTCTAACTGCATAAAACTACCCTTCAAGTAGAACTCTTTAGTGTGCAGTGTTTAGAGCTTCCTTAAGATCCCTAGGTGCATCAACTTACAAGGTTTGATGATTCTAAACCTCTAAGTATATGAAATAATGACCTTTAATGCTTAGAAAATGATAAGCCATAAAATTCAGAAAGTAGGTCACAGGTACATTGACCTACTTTTTGGTTTACACACTTTAAGGTCCCATGATGCATAAACTGACAAGTTTTGATGATCATAGGCTTCAAAGTATCCAAGTTATGCATTAAAATTAAAATGAAAACCTGCAAAATTCAAAAAGTGGGTCACTATGACCTACTTTTGAGTCAATGATATGGGGTCCGAAGATGCATCAACTGACAAGAGTTGATGATCCTAGGCCTTATAATGGGCAAAAAATCAAAGATTAAACAAAACATAAATTTTGGTCAACACTGAAGTGACCTTGAGACCACGCCCTTTGCCCCAGGGCGATTCCCCGTGCAAATTTTAATCTGCAACATATCCTCATCCTTGTATATAAGTTTGGTGATGTTCTGCCCAGTGGTTCTTGAGAAGATTTTTTTAGCAACCACTACTTTTGTTTTTATTTCCCTAATTATCTCCCCTTGTTTAAGGCACACATCCCTAGTTTTAGTATAAGCCCTTTGGCCAAGGATACTCTGTGACGAATTTGAGAAAAAGTTGACCAAGGGGTTCTTGAGATATGGCCTATTTTCCAAAAGGTTTATGCACACTGCACAAATGGCCATAGCATTAGCTCTTTGAGCCTTTATCTCAGAAGAGCTAAAAATACTAGTACATATTCTTTGGTTAAACAAAACATGGCCCCAAGACCCACCATACCTTAAAATTTCACTTTTATGACACAACATTCGTTATCTTTCCAAGAAATATTTTAGTCCATTTAGTCTAGGGTCATATTACAAACATGATTTATATGTCGATGTTTATTATGAGCGATGCAGCACTGTGGTTATCGTGTTGGTCTCCAAGGAAAAAACTGGAATTTTATTACTTGTGTTCGAACTCCAAGAGTATCACATTTTTTTGTTACCATAGAATGAATTTTTCAGCAGATAAATTTTGTCATAATTTCAAACACTTCAATGATAAGAATTTTACTCACTCACTCACTGAATATGACATATATATTTAAAGTTATAGGCATATTGCATGCCTTGTTCGCCCATCTCCTTTTCGGCATGTCTTGCATCTCCGTATAAGCAAAGCATCAGTGTCACCTACATGTTGCACATCATTTTTCTCAGCAAGCTTTCTGCTACATTGGACATGCATCCTGTTAACTATTCATTTTTCCCTACATAAATATCATGTCAAACATGGGATATCTGCATTTCATCAGATTTGATCAGGTCTATAGTATGAAAATATTCTCTGCCACCTTATTCACTACATAATTGTAGGACATTGGACTTTTGTGAAAAGCGCCGACTTTTACAATCGACGACTTACTTTTACACTAGCACAATATACGGAAGCTCTTTTGCGATATAAATATAAAGCTTAACAGTTAATGAAACGATAATAATGGGCCATTTCAAAGCACATATTAAATTGTTTAGGAAGGGAACTGCAACCACTCTACCCTCAACCCCCTCCCTTCCTACATTGACCAACTCTTGCTTAGTTTTCCTTCCGGAATGTTTTTTCTTCCTTATTCGATTCCTTCAGAAAATGAGATCGAAAGGATATTTTACCCCTCACGAATAAGGTAATTTATGTAAATCTGCCTCTCATCATCTCTTGCGTCGATTCGCATGCCTGTAAATCATGTTAGTACCCCTAACACCATACCTATAACCACTATTAAAGTTTTCTTGTCTATTATCGATTCCGTACCTCCGTACATAAGGCAGGTTTAAATGCCAAAGTAAGCCGTCAACTGTAAAAGTCGGTGCTTCTCGCAAAAGTCCATTAGCAGCTAATTCACTGTATACCATAATTGCAAGTATGACAAATATACATGTAAAGCAAGTTTTCACTTTAAGATGTTTTGCAGCTATTGTAAAGCATTTTTCCATACTTGTAACCATACCAAGTAAAGCATAATCTTCTGTGCATAGTATTTTCGGAAAAACTTTGAAGACTTGCATGTATTGAATCTTAGTCACAAAACAGATGGCATGTAGAGTTGAAGTTCCTTTTATTTTGACATGACAACAATAATGAACAAAAATTTGCTGTATTCCCAAAGACTTTGGGTGATTTCTATTATATGAAATTGTTCTTTGAATATCTCACTAAAATTGGTCACTTACACAAGTATGAATACCGAACTTAAAAAAATATATAAATAAAAAGAAAATGGCATGAGAGGAAAACATGATCACAGTAAAACAGATTCCTACCATAATGTAAAAATTACACATAAAAAAAAATCCTGAACTTAATAAGGGTTTCCATCACATAGGTGGTGGAGGGGGAGGATTTCCTGTGGGAAGTGGGGGCTGCCCTGATGATTGTTGACCACTCCAACTATTAAACATGTAAGCCATCTGGCTAGACCAGTCATTTCCACTGGCACTACTATTGTTACTCCTCTGCTGATTTCCATATCCATTCTGCTGTCCATAGCTTCCAGATGAAGACCCATTTTGGGAATAACTCTGACTTCCTCCATAACCACTATTTTGACTTTGGGACCCTCCCCCATACCCTCTTGCACCACTAGAACTACCCCTATCTGAGCTGGAGAATCGACTTCCACCTGACCGTGCAAATCCTGAAGAACTCCCTCCTCGACTGGAACCCCCTCTACCACTACTCCCCCCTCGACCTCCGTAACTTCCCCTGGAACTAACTCCACCCCTGCCTGATCCTCTATCACGTCCACCACCCCTGCCAAAGTCTCTGCCACCAAATTTGTCTCTCTGATCAAACCTGGATTTACGACCTGTCATTGTACAAAAAAAGGATTAAAAATTAGATCACTTCTCATGAACTGACATTCATTGTATGAAAATTTTACTTTGAAGAAAAATGTTGATCTTATATTTGGTCTTGAAAGCAATTCTATTAAGCTCACCTCCAAATCTGGCATTCTGGCTTATAGACACTAGTTTGGGATTGACCACTTGTTTTGCTTCTTGAAGAACAGAGATGAGATCATTTGCTTGTTTGGCATTATCTGGAGTGAAGAATGTGTAGGCAGTTCCTGTTTGTCCTGCTCTAGCAGTACGCCCAATACGATGGACATAGTCCTCTGAGGAGGAGGGGTAGTCAAAGTTTATGACAAATTTGATGTCTCCAACGTCTGTATATTGTTGCAGCATTTATTTTAGATGCACAGTGCAACAATAAAGGGAAAAAATAAGAGAAAAATTAATAAGAAAAGGCCAAACTGATTTTCACTGGAATAAAGAAATTTTATTATCATATGGAATTAATTATACAAAGTGTAGTTACTAAAAGTGTGACCATAAATGCATACTCCCGAGAACCTCACAATTCTCAACATCACCATAGGGTAAGACTCCAACTTAATCATTTCACAACTTTCTTTTCTCATATGCTATACATGTACTTACCTAGACAAAAAACTTACCAGATATCCTTGAACAAAGCTACTAAGAGACAGTGGCATATAATTGGAGTCTTGGTTGATGTACAGGGAGCATGCATCTCTATTTAAGTGATGGCCCTGGTACTTTGCTTCGACTGCTATGGGAAATGCACTCCTTTGTATCTTGATAAGCAGGTCTACCTCTCCTCTCTTCACAACACTTTTTTTCATCAACAGAATTCACAATCTGGCATGAAGGACTTCCAGCAGGAAATGTTTTGGGATACAAAATTGAACTCTGATAGAGTTACAACAGAGGTTTTTGCAGAGGTCAGGGAAGTCCATTGTTCATGCACTGTAGAATCCTGTTTTGTGTTGTGATAAGCATTTTAGAAGCAGAGCCTACATACGTCAAGCCACTTGAGTAGTGCATATTTAAACACTGGTGCCGATAATAAAAAGAATAGTTCTTATGTTCTTGTCTACTGTTTATCACAGATTTTATCTACTCTCGGTTTCCCAATATAATGGACAGATCCAGTGCAAGCAGTCGACGATAACAGAGCAAAGTCCCAATCAACAACCAGATGGCTGGGTAATGACATGACAGTCAGTCGTTATATTAATTAGGGAGATCAGCGCATACATGTACCTTTGTTTGAAACAGAAAAAAAGAAATTATTTCTGCAATAAGTTTTGTTTAACATGATAATTTATTTATTTTTTTATTTTAGTATAAAGCATTTACCTCCCTTCATGCCAATTCACGAGTTTGTTTAATCATGCCATACCAGCCAAATGAATCTTCACTGAAGTTATATACTGTACTACTTATAAATCATATACACAAGTGTTGTTACAATGTGGTTGTTTTTAAAATGTAACAAATTACAAACCTAATCCTCTGGAGGCAACATCTGTGGCCACAAGAATTGGTGTCTGTCCTGATCGAAACCCTAAAAAGGAAAATATGAATAAAGTGCCTGCCATCAGATTCACGGCAGATTAAAGGCACACTCTAAAGCATTCCAATAAAACTAATAGGTTACTTTATATAGCGTCTAAGTTCTGACAGAAAGGTCTACGCAATGACTTTTTTTACTTTAAAAGTGCTTGGACACAGATTTGAAGTTAATATTTTCTCAAATTTTCAGTATAATATCATAACTTATATGTTTTTATAGCATTTCACATGGAAATAAAATAAAAAAACTTATTTTATCTGGAAATTATTGAAACTAAGGATTTTGGGATGCATTTGATTGACACATCTATGCACTTTCAAAAAGTAAACTTTATCCTTAATACTTAAGAAAAGTAGAAATTTTGTTGTGCATTAATGAAAAATATTAAACTACCATTCACAAAATAAAGAGTAGAATTATGATAAAAGGAAGACCAACTCACCAGTATTGACAGTCCTTGCTCAGTGATGTGTGCAGAGTTTAACGAATTGAACACACCCTTGAAACATAAACTGTTTTTGTAAACAGGGCACGAGCTCTGTTACTGTTAATGTTTACGTTTCACCAGGTGTGTTCAATTTGTTGAACTCTGCACACATCACTGAGCACGGACTGACAATACTGGCGAGTTGGTTTTGCTTTCTTACATTTCTACTCTGAATTTTTTGTATTATAGTTTGAATATATTTCATTAATACACAACAAAAATTTTATTTTTCTTAAGTATTAAGGATAAAGTTTGCTTTATGAAAGTGCTAGGATGTATCAATCAAACTCGTCCCGAAATTAGTGGTTTCAATAATTTCCAGATAAAATAAGTTTTTTATTTTATTTCTGTTTGAAATGCTATAGCAACATATAAGTCATGATATTAACCGAAAACTTGAGAAAATATTAACTTCAAATCCATGTCCATGCACCTTTAAAGAACAAATTATTTTTTGTTCAATCTGAGCCCGAACAGATGCTTTCTTATGTGATTGCGCTGTCAGTATAATTCAATATCATCTTGTTCCTTTTATGCCCCTCTTATTGAAGATTTGGGGCATATAGTTTATGGTCTGTCTGTCTGTTCGTGAAAACTTTAACCTTGCCCACAACTTTTGAATGGTTGGAGCTAGGGCTTTCATATTTCACTTGTATTCCTTTTGAAAAGACCTTTCTTTGGGTACCAACATATTTGAACTCTTGAACATGATGGTTGAATTTGACCCACTTGGGTAAAATTTAAATAAACTTTTGATAGGTTGAAGGCTTTCATATTAAAGTAGTATATTCCTTGTGACAAGATCTTTCCTTTGATACCAACCCTTTTTTTTTTTTACCTTTTGATATTGACCTTGGAGTTTGATCTACTTTTTTAAAAAAATTAATCTTGGTCATATTTCAACAAATAGTGTTTGGGCTTTCTTATTTTACTTGTGTATTCTTTGAGACTAGACCTTCCCTTGGGTACCATAAATTTCGACCTCATGACCTTGATGTTTGACCTACCATTGAAAACCTTTAACCTTGACCATGTCTTTAGATCTGGTGCTAGAGTTTTCATATTTCACACGTGCATTACTTGTGACAAGGCCTTCTTTTGGGTATCAACAATTTTGACCTTTTGACTTTGACATTGGAGTTTGACCTATTTTCAGAAAACTTAAACCTTGGGCATAACTTTTGAAACGTTGGTTCTAGGGCTTTCATAATTCACAAATGTATTTCCTGTTACAAAACCTTCCCTTGGGTACTAACACTCTGACCTCTTGACTTGAATTTCATTTGAGAAACTTGAACCTTGGCAATGAGCTGTCATAAGGGGGCGTCAGTGTTGCACAAACACATCTTGTTTCTTTATGTTTTTCAACTTCGTTATCTCAATCATCTGATATCTGAAGTTTAATCTCAGATAAGAGGTTTGACTATATATATAGTGTAAAACAACTTGTGTTTCCAATGGCATTTACAGATCTGTATGACCTGGAAATTCCAAATCTACATACAGGCATGTACATAATGTCTTTATTTTTCAACAAACTACTTCCTACCAATTATTAAGTTTTGTAATAAATTTTTAAAAGGGAGAACAAATTGAAAATACCATTCAACACCCAGTCTCTTTCTTGCTGAGATTTGTCTCCATGTATACACATCATTGGCCATCTGTTAGAGAGAGAGAAATACCATCAGTATGCATCTACTATATTCCCGAACAGTTTATCTCATATGTCAATCGAGGCTTAATTTTGCTTTTTTTTAATAACTAACCCTTCTCTTCTCATTCTTCTGGTAATATCATCAGCTTTTCTCTTCGTCTCTGTAAAAATGAGGGTCTTATTTTCTTTTTCCTGCATGATTTCCTCTAACAATTTGGTAAGTCTGCAAATTATAAGAAATTGTTGACATACAAATATACAAACTACTGTAGAATTTTATTCTCCTTTAGCAATGTTAAATGATCTTCATTTATTAAAAAAACAAATATTTTACTTGAATTCTTTTTCATTTTCATCACAAACATCAATGATCTGGAGAATGTTGTGATTTGCGCTAAGCTGAAGGGCACCAATGTTTAACTGGATGTAATCCTTCAGGAAATCCTCTGCCAACTTTCTGACATCTTTGGGCCAGGTGGCACTCCACATCAATGTCTGTCTGTCAGGCTACAATTATCAAGTAAATATGCAATTTCAATAACCTGTTTAAATTCCCACTCTGTGCTCTCTCCTCCCAATTC